TAATTTTTGATTAGTAATATGCATGGCTAAGAACTTCATTTGGACAAATTTAAAGGCGATTTTCTCAATATTTAGATTTTTTTTGCACCCTCAGATTCCAGATTTTCAAATAGTTGTATCTCGGCCAAATATTGTCCTATCCTAACAAACCATACATCAATGGAAAGCTTATTTATTCAACTGTGCAGGCCTCTATACAGTTCACTATAATATAAACTATTTCATAAACTATATATAAACTATTTCACTATATATAACTATATATAAACTATTTCACTATATATATATATACAGTATATATATCACTATACTAACTATTTCACTGTATATAAACTATTTTATATAATAGTTTATATATACGTTTTTTTTAAAATATTTTTAATCCTCTAGCAGTGTAATTGTTTGGCTCTCCGTTGCATAATTGATTAGGATTAGACTTTGTCTCTCAGTGCAGATGCATTTGTCACACAAACATGAAGACACTATAATTGTGTCCTTTATGTGTATGTGCTTTTCTGGGTAATAAAAAAAAAAAACCTATAGGTATGCTAGATAAACCTATGAGGTTGCATTTTCCACTGAGGTGTGCAGCTTGTTGTTTTCTGTAATAGTTTGTACTTCTAGATGGTTGAATTGCCCACGTCACATCAGTGCAGGTCAGAAAATTAGATTTGATTTAAACCTCATAATGTTGCAGTTTTTAATATTCCTGCCTGTCCCAATAGTAACCCTTCTGCCCGCAGATGACCCCAGTATGCAGAGCAGCATCCGGGCTCTCTGTACTGCTGGAGAGGATGCTTAGAGGTTCTTTAAATCTAGACAATCACAGCTGATCAGTATTGTCTGTTTGACACATGTTTGATCCATATGTGTGTGTATGTGTTCAGCACACAGCTCTGCTCTCAGAGCTGTAGTTACTTTCAGTAGGGGGCACTGTTGTATCATCATATTCTGTCTTCCTTTAGCTGCCTCTTTTGCTCTTTGAGCAGTAATCACATCTAATGTGCTGCTGTGGCTAAGGACCAGCTCTTGAGCTAGCCGCTCTCTCTGTGTGTGTGTGTGTGTGTGTGTGTGTGTGTATAAAAGGGTGAGACAGTCACACTGTGAGATAGTCTCCCTCTGTCAAGAAACACAATTTAGGAGCACTGATATCCACCTGTATATTAAGACATTTAAGACATGCATAATGTGTTAAATTGTAAACGCTTAACATTTTTTGTTTTTGTTTCCGTTAATATTACGCAAGCGTCATCGTTTTTTTTTTTTTTTTTGTCAATGGTAAATTATTTTCTTTAGTATATTACTGAGTATTATTATTATGTATTTGTAAATAATACAATAAAAAGATAATTTTTAATTTATGAAATTATATTATATATTGTTTCAACCATATAAACCATAAAAAAGAGATAGGACAAGGAGAAAAATTTCAGTATTTTGGCGTATTCATTCATCTATCCATTTTTTGTAAATTCATCATTAATTCTTGCTTCTTTTTTATTATTTATATTTTTTAAATTGTGGGTGCATTTAAATTAACCCGATCAAGCCATTGTCTGCATTTTATTAGTTAAACAAATATTGAATTTGTAGGATTGTTAGAGATCAAATAAATAGCTCATGAATGTGAAAGCATAGAAAATAAATATTCATTTGAATTCCTAATATCTGATATTTTCATGGCTGATTTAAATTAATTTAAGTATGATTTCAACAGACAGTCATGGCATTTACCAGAGACATGTGTTTATCTATATTCTTGGGAATTGTCTCTGTGGCCTTCCTGCACTTTTCTTGATTTTTCCGCAGTCCGAGCAGGTCCGGGGTTGGCTGTTCTGCGTGTTTCTCTGTGTGTTCACCCTCTTCCTGCTGTTTATTAAAACCGCTCCTCTCCCATGGGGATTTCTCTCTTTCGTTTTCCTTCTTTCTCTTTTCTTGTGTCTCCCTCTCTTGCTCTTCAGGCTGTTGTGATGCAAATTTTCACCCCTCCATTTGAATGACATCCTGATAAAACAACTCTCTCTCTCTCGCTCTTTCTGTGGCTCCCTGCACTTTTCTTGATTTTTCCGCAGTCCGAGCAGGTCCGGGGTTGGCTGTTCTGCGTGTTTCTCTGTGTGTTCACCCTCTTCCTGCTGTTTATTAAAACCGCTCCTCTCCCATGGGGGTTTCTCTCTTTCGTTTTCCTTCTTTCTCTTTTCTTGTGTCTCCCTCTCTTGCTCTTCAGGCTGTTGTGATGCAAATTTTCACCCCTCCATTTGAATGACATCCTGATAAAACAACTCTCTCCCTCTTTCTGTGGCTGTCTCACCCCCCCCTTCTCTTTCTCCAAACTGAACCTCATGAATTAATGTGAATTGCTTAATGGAAACAACATAGGAAATATGGAGGAAAATAGAAAGGAAGAAAGAAAAGACAGAGAAGCTATCGTACTCCTCATACACCACTGACATTTATTTAGGCTTTTAACAGTGGCACTTTCTTTCTTTCCTTCTCTCGGTCTGTCTATCCTGGCACAGGAATGGCTCCTAATAAATTTCACAGTAAGGGACGGTTTTTACTGGAGAATGGGGGGAAAATGGGAAGAAAAGAAGCAGGAAAAGGGGGGCGAGGAGAAAAACACTGTACAGTAGAATTTGCGGGTAAAAGGTATTTATGATTCCCTTTGAAGTCCTTATTGAACAGGGTAAGCTGAATTTTAGCAGGCCGTGATAGTGGGGAGGGTAAATACTTAAACCCCTTTAGAGAATTTCATGCGCTGACATGCCACTTGCAGGCTGTGTGTATGTGTTTGTGTTTTTTACCTACAGGGAGAGAGAGTGAGAGTGAGAGTGGTTGCTGGCTTTGTACCTGCATACAGAAGCTTTTACAGACCCTTTGGGCAGGCAGGGAGACCGGTGGGTTTATGTGTGTTTTTTTTTTTTGGGTGGCAGGGATGGAATCTTTGAGATGGAATATTGTTGAATATTTTTAAATACGCACACAGAGCCTTACAGGTCCCCATAAGACCAACAGACAAAAACTCCACATGTTATATCCCACCAACAATGCTGAAAAAATCTATTGTGTGGTCAGTCTGTTACTGGATTGCTAAAATATTTTGAGGCGTAACTAATCACTGGTTTTACCACAGGTTGCCAGATTAGTGGAGTCAAATGTTTGAAACATGATGTATGATTGATCGATTGAATGTTGTTCAAAGTGTTCGATTCTTGGCCAGAGTAAACTACAGACTAGGCCAGACTTCATGTCTAAAAAGTCTGGTTTTATAACGGTTTATACGAGATCCGTATTCTTTGATGTACTTTTTATTATTTTTGTTTTTCACATGCATATTCAATATCTTTAAATTTAAAACTTGAAAGCTGTTCTGTCTCTTATGATATCAAGGTTGCATTAATTTGATCAGAAATGCACAATAATATAAAAAGCAGTAATGTAAAATATTTTTACATTTTAAAATAATCATCTATTTTACAAATTATAAATGAATGTAATTTGTTTCTTTGATGGCAAAGCTGAATTTTCAACAACATTTTTATAAAGTGAATTTTCAAAATTATTATCAATGTTGAAAACAGTTGTGCTGCTTAATATTTGTGCAGAAAAAGGGTTATTTATTTATTTATTTTTAAAGATTCCTTGATAAATAGAAAGTTCAAAAGAACATCATTTATTTGAAATAAAAATATTTAGTAACATTTATGAATATCTTAACTGTCACTTTTGGTCAATTTAATGTTTCCTTACTGAATAATGTTTACTTTTAAGTCTTGAACCACGACACTTTATAGAAATCCCTACAGATTTCAACAAGATTGGAAAGACCAGTGTTCCCAAAGTTCGACCATGTTTGTTTATTTAATAATTTGCCTAATTTTATAATGTTTTCAGCTACCAAAAACAGTGTAGTACTCCTTTTAACACTTCAATACCATGTTTAAATCCATTTCCACTAAATTCCACAAATTTCAGCACAGAAAATGTGAAGAAAAAAGATGATCTGCAGAATCGAACTGGGTCTAGTTATTAGTATCGTCATGTGCATGTGCGTAATTATGTGCAGACGGTTCAGTCTTGTTCTGCTGGCGTTGAGTGTAGCTCAGTGTGTGCAGGAGCAGACGCTCTCTGACAGCCGCTGAACTCTTTGAAGTCAAATTTTTATTTTTCTTAGAAAACCAATAAGTGCTTTATAATGCCTGATCTGTCTTATCTTCCGAAACCCTCCTCGCACTCTTGGTTTGTTTAGCGCTTTGTTTGTTTATTTATTTACTCTGCAGTTTTTCCGGCTCGCTTCTTGATCAGTGAGATAAGCGGCTGAAGAAAGAGGAATAAGATCTGGAATTACAGACCATGACTGATTAATCACTACTGGGGATATACACGCAAACACAACACATATATGCTTCATTAAATTCCACAGAGACATACACAAAGCGCACCGTTTCCTGTCAGTCAGGTACATGCTGACCTTATTCAGTAACTATACGTCTTTGTGTGTCTAATGTGTCTGTCTTTCTCCTCATTCCTTTCTTTTAATTCTTCAGAGTCACCAGGTTGGCTATCATGTCAGGGCTCTTAACCGAGTTAAGCCACGGTTCAGAACAATGAGGGGAAGAATGGGAGATCCTGATGCCAAGCCACTGTAAAATTGTCGGATTCACTTGAAAAATCACAAAGAAAGAGAGGAATTATAAAGAAGATATTGCAGATAATTCGAGAGAAAACCAATAAGTGCTTTATAATGCCTGATCTGTCTTATCTTCCGAAACCCTCCTCGCACTCTTGGTTTGTTTAGCGCTTTGT